GGGGGCTCGGGGATTAAGGGTGTAGGGGTTTACTGAGAGGTTCAGGGTCTACCTTAAACTACGATAACCTACCTCTTCGTAGGTGATCGGCTCAAAAGCTGCATGTGTGTACGGACTCTCAAAGAAGTAGGTTTTGGGAGGTCAAGAGGGGCCAATCCAGGATGTAGGGATTCAGGACGTGGGGATGAAGGCTCTTCCAAGGGTTCAGGATTCAGAGAATTGCGCTTTAAAGGTTGAGACACTAAACCCCTAAACCCTAANNAACCCTAAACCCGAAACCCTAACGCTTAAAAGGTTTTCAGGTCCGTGAAGCTCCGGGGTTTAGATTCCAGGGTAGGCTTGAGTGGGGAGGGTCTGGAAAATCTCTCAAGCCAAATGAAGACGGGGTTGAAGGTGGTAGGGGGGCCTTCATAATTAGACTAGGGTNNCCCCCCCCCCCAACAAAAAAAAGAACAAAAACCACAGTACTGGTAATATTTAGGCTCCTACATTACGGGGGCTTAGGGTCTGGGCGGGGCTTGAAGACTCAAGGCTTGAGCGTAGATGGGATGCACAAACCATGTCTGAACTGTCTGAACCTTAAACCCTAAACCCCTAAAACCCAAAACCCCTCACTTTTATGGACAACTCGGGAGGTTTGCACTCTTTCCCTTCGGAGCTCTTGGGTCCTAAGGATGCGAAAGTTACTTTAGGGTTTAGGGTTTAGGGTTTCGGGTATCAGGAGGTCAGGGTTGCTGTAAGGGGAAGTATCGGTTTTTTTCCGGCTCAGGGTTTTGTTTTAGTTCTCGCGGGAGTTCAGAAGCAACTTTAGAACATGGGAAGTCACGGAAGGGCGAGGGAAACTGGGATGACTTCAATCCCACCAGGTCGAGCATGTTGTGCACCCTGAAAGCCTTGGAAGCCCCTTGTCGAAACTGCAACCGCAGCAATGGTCCTGGGTTTGCCAACACCGATAGTCCTGCCTTGGACCGCACAGAATCCCAGTCGGTGGGTCGTATAAAGTTCCTCAAACTTGGCATGCCGGGATCGTCCGTGCAAGTGGGCAGGTAGTTCAGGTGGACCTGGGATTGAAATGTTGGCGGTGCTGCAGGTGCAGATGCGAATAGAACATGAACAAGCTTTTCATATAGATGGTCAGTACCCACGGACCTTCCTACCCTTTCCAGCCACGCACCTGCCAAGCACCAACTGAACATGCACAGATAACACAGGAGTGGAATTATCAGCATGATTCCCTAGAGTTGCTAACTATTCTTGCAGCATAGTTACCCAAAAGCCAAACAGGAGCCGACATACCCGTCCCGCCCCGCGTGTTTATCTTTCAAGGGTTTTTGGGGGTTTTAGCGTTGAGCCGAACATCCTGGGGCTTTAGAGAAGCGCTGAGCCCTGCGGCTTTAGTCCCTGAACACCAAACTCAAGATAGGGACCTTCTTAGAATAGGGTCTTGGGGCATAGTATAGCATACTTTTAATATTGTTACAAGGGCACGTTTACATCAATTTCTTTTTGTTGTCTTTCCTGAAGTCGCTCTCGTGCGCATGACAGCTCAGTGTAATGATGTGGGGTAGCCCAGAACCGAGGCCACACATGCTACAAACAAAACGCGAGCAAGCCCTAGCGAGCAATCAACTTAGCATGACCACGCTTACGTAAACATATATATATATACACATGTGTATCTGTATATGTATGTATGTATGTATGTATGTATGTATATATATATATATATATGTACATACATACATACATACATACATACATACATACATACATACATACACACATATGGTGAACCCCCCTATTGACCCACATCTCCTTCTTAACAATATGTAGCCATAATATGTGTTCCGAGAAAAAGGGGATGCAAGAGGACACACACCCATTCAAGCGGAACGCACAATTTGCATGCAAATGGATTTCCAGTCCTTCGTTGCATCCTAAAAGTATACTTCCGCACAAAGGTACTGAAACAAAAACAGTAAAAACAGAAACAAAAAACGGCAATAACAACCAAACGCAACAGCACAAAAATCACCCCCACAGGGAATAGAACAACCAAGCAATTCAACCACACTCACAACAAGGACAACAACACCAACAGCAACCAAAGCAAACAAAAACAAACCTATATCTAGCATAAGGCTGAACATCTTGTCTTATGTTTTTGGTTTCTTTATGCGGTTGGTTTTACCTTTTTTGCGTCTTTTCAGGTTTAGTCGTTTCCCTGTATTTTTTGGCCAGTGTTTGCTTGGCTCTTGTATTTTTAGGGCTGTGTTTTTTGGGATTTCAGCTCCTTTCGCGCAAGTAACCCTTACTATGTTTTAGACACAGGTTCAGCTTGTTTTTGTGTGCGTGTTTCGGCTTTCCGGCTGCTCCTATCTACCTATATATACACATGTATCCATGTGTATATACATATATATATATACACACATATGTACACATACATATACGTTCATACATATACGTTCATAATGAATATGCCGCATGTGTGTAAAGCTGGCTTTAGTCGTTTATGTACACAATTATTCATAACTGTGTCCATATGACATTGATTTTTCTTACAGGTGCTTCAACATGCAACATTGCCAATATTGCCCGAGACAAATTGGCAGGTATTTTGAGATACATAGACATATATATATATACATATATATATATACATATATATACATATATATATATAGATGTAGACATTGAATTCTAAAGTTCACGAAGCTGCATAAAAATGAAACAGCTATATCAGTATGCATGCATGCAATACCACATATCATGTATGCTCCCATGACATCGTTGGATCGTGTTAAAGTTGTTGACATTCAGAACATGCATAGACTACATAGCCATGTCACTATGCGGCTTTACACCCGAATCCGACGCTTGTGGGTTCTGTTTGTAGATGTGTTCATTGAATTGTGTCTACACCAACAGCACGAATTTATTCTGGCTTTGGCAGTTCATGCTACCACAACAGAAGATCAAGTGTCCTATCTTGCCGTTTTGTCACTGTTGTTGTTATTGTTGCTGCTGGCGTAGTACCGGCACATGATGGATGCGACTCTATCCGTTTATGTTCCTGCAGTAAAAGCCAACGCATGAGCAAGACTAACACAGTCCAACAGCAAGAAGCAACACAGACCGGATCAAGGCAGCAGATCTTGCGGGTCAAATCGGGGGAGGGGCGGGGTTAGCACATGTGTACACACACACACACATATATATATGTATATATGTATATGCATATGTATATATATATATATACACACATATTCTTGGTATATGCATACAGGTACGTCCTGCTCATCAGTGTTCAGCACAAACCGATCCGTTCAGCCCTGTGACCTGCTGCACGGCTTGTCGCCGGGACGTGGTATCCACGAGCATCATCAGCTCCTTGGAAAATGCTTTAGGGGTTTAGGGTTCAGGGGTTGAGGGTTTAGGGGTTAGGGTTTAGGGCTTGATCGAGATCTTGATCGAAATTGTAGGTATCTGAATAATATAGGGGGCCTTCATAATTTGAGTAGGGTTTTGAGGTACATTGTACTATACTCATAATAAGGAACCCCCAAAAATAGTACTGGTAATTGTTTAGGCCCCTATACTATGGGGATACAAGTCCAGGGAAGCTCGGCTTCGGAGGATTTAGGGTTTCAGGCTGGCTTCCTGATCGAGTTTCAGGGATGAACTGATTTTAATGCAGGTGCTCAATAATAGGACCCTCAAACTTACTACATATCAGACGTAACCGGCCAAAATTCCCCAAGGGGCATCACCTTCCTCATTTAAAAACCAAAGGCATACATATTTCAGCTTTGGCCGTTTTGGTCTCGGATTTCGTGGTCTCTTTTGAGCTGGAATTTGCGGTTTCACACTCAGGCTATGAACAACCAAGGGGAGCACAATAATTCCGGACCCCCAGAAAGCTCCTTGAGTCTTCGACTGTGAGGGTGGTGAACACCCATGTCCAAAGCTTCGACTACCGTGTATGAATCGTTTGATGCAGGTGACCATCGTCATTATTCAGTCTTGTAGGAAAAGATGACGATGAGTGACAGAGCCGTCGATGGAGACGAAGAAGTGTGTTCTTCAATACCACATGAAGCTTCTCTTAGGGGCTGAGTACCCTAGCCCAATAAAGGTTCACCTTTTTCAATTATAGTCGGATTCCATAAGACCCAAAATGTGAAAGGTTACCTAGTCCCCAAAGCCCCCTAGTCTCGCTACACTTGGCCCCGGAGCTCCGAACCCGATTTAAAAAATGACCACAGGCCCTCTCCAGAAGATAGGGAGCCTTGATGATGAGAAAAAGTTGGGGGGGGGGGGGAGGTATTTCAGCATAGCCATGCAGGGACGATAGAATCCGATATAAGAACATACGGTTGATGATATAAACTCTGCATTACCCACAATACGGAATACATATACATATATATATATATAGATATACATATATGTATATACATACATAATTCCCATATAGTTTAGGGTCCTTAAGGAAATGCAGGTTTTTTTTTAAATCATCAACAGTAGTCTTACTTGACAGATATTTCCCAGCCCAGACTCGGTGAGCTGAGGCAGCGCGCGCACCAGTCCTGGTTGGGCGCCCTCGGACGCCGAGGAGGCCACCGAGGCCGCGGAGGAGGAGGCAACGGAAGATGCTCCAAGCGGCGCCCGTTGAGAGGTCTTCAGGGCCTTCAGACTTTCTATATATAACAGACCAGAATATTTTTACACTCAAAAATTCTATACTATATACCATGCTGCCCAGAATCCGAAAGCCCACAAGAATCTACCATGGCAAGGCCCTACTCAAGAGGCTGTGGGATTGTTCGAAGATGCGAACCCCGGGAGGGCCCACGGGCCCAGAATGTTGCAAGGGATGTAAGGGTTTAGGGTTCAGGGTGTTTCTTTTTTTGAGGGCCTAGGGTTTAGGGTGTAGGGGATAGGGTTTAGGGTTCAGGAGTAGTCATGTCTCTATAAAAAAGAACTTGAACAGTGTACTAAAACTCGGGCTTGCCTTGGGAAGGATTGGGCCGAACCAACGAAAAGAAGAACGGAACACCTTCCGAGAACTTCTGGCTTGTTCACTGCGACACCCGAACCGAAGGGAGCAATTCAAGACCCCCTAAGAGCAGACCTAGAAGTACCGCAACAAAACATTCCGACTGCAGCCGAAACAGCATGGCTCACGCCCGCCCCCAAGAATCCCGGATTTTTGTCGTAGTATCATATGCCAAATCGTTATGTAAAGCCCCTATATACCCGGGCTTCTAAACAACACATCTTCTGGAGAGCAAAGTAGCTGAAGGCGAAGTATGGCGAATAAGCTGGCGCGGGATGTCGGAAGGACGTGCATCAGGGATTGGTTCAGGCTCGGTGTCCTGCCTGCACAGTCAGCGAGCCAGTTCTCATTAAAGCCTACATGACTCATCGCAAGAAACCCCCCGTCCCCAGGCAAAAACCCCAAGCCCGACCCCCACTTCCATAAAAGACTCTGGCCTCATGGCCAGAAGGTGATAAGTGCTCTCAGAGCCGTAGAGATTGGCAAGAGGGACGTGGAAAAGATCCACACCCACGCTGACTTGGGCACTACCTGCAAGGCTTCCAAGGCTACCACCGTCCGGCCCCCCCGTAGAGTTCCCAGGTTTCATGGTTCTGAAGGCAAAAAAAAACAGGAGCTTTGGGGAAACTCGCCTTGCAGGGAGACCCGCAGACAGGGTGGAGTGCCAGCTGTGTCCTCCCCAACATTCGAGGAGGTCTTGATGAAGTCATGGAGGCGTCGATGCTCCTCGCTTCAGGGGGCCCTTGGAGGCTTCAGGGGGGTGTCGGAATGTAGGACCAAAGCATTGCTATTTGTGCTTTCCTCTTTCCAAAACGGGGGGCTCTCTCTGAACCCAAAAACCCAGAGCCGGGCCCACTAAGCCCCCCGTAACTTGCGAAGACCGAGAGCCGCACCTCTTTGGAGTCCACCAAAAGATCCGGGAAGTGGGTGTTGGCCTCGACTGGCCTCGACATGATCCTCTGCAAGCAAGTGTTGTGGCCTGCAGGGAGGTCATGTGAAGGAGGGGCTGAGTCATTAGATGTCGTTGTATTTTTTTCGGGCGGGGGGGATCTGCTTGCATTAAGTCAGCATATTTTAGGGACTACACAGGGGCATTATCACCCTCCCTACTACTGTAGGGCTTCAGGGTTGACGGGTTCGCTGCGAGGCGGCAAGGTTTTGGGTCTCAGACAGAGGCACATTAAGGGCATATCAAACAGATGTAGCTTATGCCGGGGCTTTGAGAAGAAGGCGCCCTATAGAACAAGGCCTTTGATGCAAAGGCTGCCATCCAGCAAGACTTCACCATCACAAATGCCACGCAGCATCCGTCGGAACCCGGATACCATCGCCTGCGCAAGTGGACCTAGGAATAGGGTGTAAACCCTTTCGTCTACTCTTGCCACTGTTATGCGATGACACGCTCGCCGCTAACACCTACATTGAGCAACTGTCAATGTTGCTAACAAATCCTAAGGCCACAAACAGCGGCCTTGACAAGAAACCCCATGCCCTTCTTTGATGAGGCCCTCTTGATACCTTGATACAACCCAAGCTCCCAAATCCCCAAACTGCTAAACACTTAACATGCCTCTGACCCTGCACAGCCTAATACTTCTGATCGACAAACTAGAACAGAATGCTGCGCGTCCTCAGCATCCGTCGACCTCAGCTGTGCCGCAAAATGACCTCTCAGGCTCGACTCCAAGATGATGGATAGACCGATGACCATGACCTTCACTGCACGTTGGGGGGGGGTTCAGGGATGAGGGATGCTAAGCATTTCTTCATCAGCTTCGGGACTTGATTCTGCGCCCGGAAGACACTGGAGGCGTCGGGGGCTGACGGAAACGAAGTGCAAGAACATTGCAAAAGCTGCCAATTCTGTCCCAGGAACCAAAGTGAAGCCCTCGGACAGGGCTAAAAAGGCAACACTCGAGGTGCAGCCGCATGCGTGCAACTTGGACAGGACCAGGGAAGCAGTGATCGCAGTCTGACCGGGGATGTGAAGGCTGCTCTCGATTTGGAGCACTACCAGAAAAATCCGGCAGAAGGTCATTGCGGAAAGCATCATGGAAGCCTCGGGGCCATCTGCAAAGCGCCTCTCCCAACCATACAGCATCCAGTTGAAGTAAAACAATTGCGCGAAAAGGCGTATGCGACGGGCCGACATCGTGATAAGCTTGAGGTTTTGGCAGCTCTGTACCACGTACGCAAGGAATGCTTGCAAGAGAAACACCTTCGTGTCCTGCCTCGTAAGGAGCAATGGAACAATGAAGGGTACACAGTGGGGAGTGAGGCTGCTCGCCATGCTGAAATTCTTTTCGATTTGATGCTCCACGGCCTTGTCCACGCGAGCCTTGTGGGCATCAAAAACAGTCTCCTCTTTGCGCCTCACTCCAGCGCAATGCTCAAACATATGGTGCCGTACTCCTCGGAGCACGTGCTTGCCATTCGCACAGCAGTGGAGGAAGGCAAACACGATGGCGAAAGCAACCTCGGGCGAGGTTGAGAACGCCTCAGGAGCGACTTCCCGCATGGCAAGCACGATGCCTTGAGCCCTGCGTTCTGCTCAATGTCCAAAAAAATGTGTTGCCTGGCTTGGAAAAGGCCTAGAACGCGAATATTGCCCTAGAGCTGCGGAGAGTCACAGCTGGTGTGCAAGGCTTGTTTCGTCATGCTACTCGCTTGCAAAGAGTCCGGGCTTAAGCCGTCCATGGTCCATCATTCATGTTCTCTTCCATGAACGGCCACATTGGGTACTGCCCCCATACAGCAACAGTCTATAATAGGGCTACTCTTAAGGGCTTCTATATCCATATTATGGATATTACTAAACTGTTACTGAGTGGGGGCAGTATCCGAAGCAACAACCATGAAAGCCGAACATGCCTGTCAATTTTGAACACAGCGACTGAAGCTGCAAACTCCGAAACCCCATTGTAACCTCTGCGATCTTTACAGCTCAAACCCGCATGAATCGAGACAGCTTGCAGGACTTTGCAGGATTAGGTCAGGGACCTAACATGACTCAAGAAAGCCGATTCGACGGGGGCTTTGGAACTCCCTGGGCACTGCCTGAAAGCTTCTGCCCCAGCAGAGAATCCAAGCTCATCTGCCCCGTCTCCGCAATGCGCCCGTGCTGCACTTGCATAGCCTGGTGGCGGCAAGGACGAAGCAATCAAGGCTAATCAAGGTAGCAGCCATAATCAGAACCAATAAGCAGTCTAAAAAAGGTCACACCAACAAGAATTAGGTAACCAGGTGACCGCAACAGCGACGACCCCGAAAACAACATGTACCAACAAACAACAATGACATTGCCGCAGCTTGTCCTCGCGTACTGTCCTTGCTGCTACTGCCGCTGCTAGTGCTTGCTGCTGCCTGCTGCTGCTGCTGCTGCTGCTGCTGCTGCTCCTACATATATAGTCTTGCGGGACATGGCGGGAAAACCAAACCATTCCTTTGCAAGACATGCAGCCATCCCCCACCAATCTCTCACCTCACATCCACGTGCATGCGATGAGGTTGCAAAACCTGCTACGTGCCCATGTCGGGAGTTGCCAGGGTTGTTACCACCGTTCTCCACTTGTACGATCAACACAAACGCGAAACCAACATCACAGCATTATGAGCAGTAATATCGATTTACTGGGACTGAAAATCTCGCAATATCACATATAAGTCTCAGGGTTTCTGAGTATCTTCATTCAGACTTCTGTACTAGCTCATGCAGCGTGGAAGCAATGGCAATCGAATGGGCTTCAGGGATTTCTGAAATTTCGGGGTACCCTTGTTTCAGGGGACCAAGGAGTAAAGTGTCAGGTTCAGTGTGGAGGATCATGGGGCTTTTACCTGGTAGACCTGAGATCCTGATCCTACTGTTAGGGCTTTGCCTGGCGATGCAGGTATGGGGATGGACTTGCCAGGAATTCTCGGGAACATTCGTACTGAAGAGGACAGTAACGCTAAACCCTGAACCCGCAAAGCTAGACGCTGAACCCAGGTCCTGAGCCCCATACGCCCTAAGCCCTGAACCCTAAAGTTGTGAAGGGTTCGCAGAGCGGTAGCACCGTCACTTGCGCCCA